AATTGGTAATATATATATATATATATGCTAAGTATGCAATCATTCTCCTTGGTTTTGTTTATAAAGATAATCAATAATTCATGAATTAAATATAATTTTACATACCTTTTAAATATGTAGGTTTTAGTCACTCTTCTTGTTTTATTGCACTAGCTATATTTATATGGGAATAGCTCTACATTGTCAGCCTTGCTATGATTGTAACTAAAGATTTTAAAGATGTTTATAGTCGGTTAAACAGGAGTTTCCTATATTCTTTGTTTGTTCAGTTGTTTGTTTTTTGTTGTTGTTGTTTTTTCCCGAGACAGGGTTTCTCTGTATTGTTTTGGAGGCTGTCCTAGAACTCTCTCTGTAGACTAGGCTGGCCTCAAACTTACAGGGATCTGCCTGCCTCTGCCTCCTGAGTGCTGGGATTAAAGGCATGTGCCACCAACTCCCAGCTCTTTGTTCATTTTTTTCATGACTGAGCAAAGAGTTTGTCAAATGCTTTGTCTTAGGGATCAGTTGATATTCCAGAAGATTTTTCCTCTTTGTTTTTTGATGTAGTGGTTTCAAATGTTGAATAAGTGTTTTTTTTTTACACTGAAAATACTACTTCTGGTTTCTGTATATTTATGACATAAATTGATGAATTTTACTCATAGATATTTATTGGAGAATTTTCTTCTATTTGCTAAAAATACACTGTGTATCATTTTGTTCCCTTTCAGTAACTTTCTTAGTTTTTGCACTGAAGTACTTCTTGCTGCACTGAATGAGTGATCGAGTGTCTTATGCCTTGACTTTTCTTCACAAAGACTTACTGTACGATGTGTATGATATCATTCTTTCTGTGAAACCTTTTGGGCTACTGATTTTATTGAAGAATATTAATAATTCAAGCAGCCTGCACATACTTGGTTGTAGGTATTATCTGTTACTCCTACCACTATTAGGTTGTTTTTAATTCTTTTGAAGGCATAAAATATCTGACAGGGCATGTTGCTTTCCAGAATTTCTCACAAAGTTGATTTTTGATCTGGAAAATGGAACAGTGAAAAATTCTCATCCCAGAGTGTGAAGCTTTACACAAGTCATTCATGTTACTAAAAAATAATATCTTGCAGTCAATATTCTGTATTTTTGCATATATCTATAATGTCTTATGGGAGTCCATCTCCTGCCTTAAGCAAAAAGTAAAAGAAACTCCACTTTGAGAATGGTATATTGTGCTTTAGTTAGTAAATAATTTTTGTGGAAATTAATACATTAATTTAATATAATAATTTATATAAATTATCAAATATATTTAATCTCTATTATAAAAACATTGCAAATTTCTATCTATTATACAGCAAGATTAAGCATAATCAAGATTATACATCTCAAAGAATTTTTTATAAGATAGAGTAGTAATTAAAAATGAAAGTTACAGAGCCTCATCTTTGTACTTTTCCTATCAAATATATTTTTATGTCTTTATCCAGTAGCAAAACTGAAAAATCTATGACAAAGTTAGAACTAAAACAATTAGTGTTGTATCCCCTGACATGATTTGTGTTCCATATATATATATTTTTCTACCTCTTCCTGTATCCACAGCCATATTTGTTTACATATATACATATATTATCATCTAGATTCTGATTATGAGAAGAAAATATATTCTGTTTTTTTTCTTTCTGAGATTGTATCATCACATAATAATTTGTTTGTTTAATGAATACATCTACTGTATGTTTACCATTTACTTGAATATGTTCCTGTGTTTTTCAGTGAGAAACAGGTGTTCACAATCTCTCTCTTATCAGGTGTTCAAGGCACCATATTATTAGAACATCTCTGTCAAAGTGAAAGCCACTTTAGCATACTTTGGAGTATTCCTACACAAAGGTATTATTTTGAATTTTATTATGAAAGGTTCATATTTCAAAAATATTGTTCCAACTAAAATTAGTAAGAATATATCTATGAAGAAATATGGAAGGTAACAATCATAATTTTGTATAAACAATAATGTATTTGAGCATTAGGTACTCAGGTGGTTTGCAGTATTATTATGATACACACTCTTAGTAACTGGCTCATTTGCTGTAAGTGTACTCAAGAAGATATTATAATTTACTGACTATCAGTATCTTTGCCACACCATATATGAAGAGGTTTTTTGTTTTGTTTCTTGGTTTGGGTTTTTTTGTTGTTGTTGTTTCTTTTCTTTTGTTTGTTTGTTTTTTGTTTTTCAAGACAGGGTTTCTCTGTATTGCTTTTGGAGCCTGTCCTAGAAATAATATTGTTTATAAAGTTAAATCTACATAATTTTTGCTGCGTAGATCATTCAGTCAGTAGTGTGCTTGTCCCATGAAAGCAAGAAGTTATGAGTTTAGATTCTAGCACTCACTTGTAAAGCTAGGCACAGTTTAAACCCAGCTCTGGGGAGACAAAGACAGGAGGATGTCTGAGTTTTTCTAGCTATCTGGTCTACCAGAATCTGTGTGTGACCTTTGTGAGATTTCATCTTTAAGAAATAGCATGGAGAGTGATTCAAGAGGACTCTCAATGTCCACCTCTAGCCTTGAAGTATGTATGCAACAGGTACTCATACAGATGAACATGGACATGCACACACACAACATACAACATATATACAACAAATCTAAAGATGTCTGGCTGGGTACAATAGTAGAAACAAGTATTCAGAACTGCAAAGCTGATGAAACAACTTTCTAAAAAAATATGGAAACACTTGCAGTGTGCTTCAGAATTGTTTCACTGTTACTCATCACAGTTACATTAAAGTTCATTATTTTAAATATTAGTTATTTCCTGGTTTGACAATGAAAGCCAAGGTCAATTCACAAAAAATGCTGCCTTTCCTCCTTGGGGTTTCACAGACTTTTGAGAGTAAAAATACTCCGTTGTAGTATATGCAGAAGATGTTCTCCCATGACAAAGGACTCACTGACTGATAGTCTCCACATGTCCAGAGTTTGGCATCTATTTGCTGTACAATTGATCTTAATTATCAAAAGCCTTCTTCCTAATTTTGATAATTGTAGTATTGGATTTCCTCTGGCTTCTTCCTCATTGAATTTTTACTCTGTGCTACCAATGGATAAATTTTAATCTCTGACAGTCATTAACGACATTTCAACCCTTTGGATTAATAAGTAAATGAAATTAGAAATTTAGGGAAATTGGATTGCTGTGTGCCTTTGGTCCCATGTGCCTTTGCATGTAAAGAAGCAACCTTCTGTACTCTACTTCATCGCTCCTTCTGAAGGAACTTTTCAGTAGTGGTGGATCTATTATTAAATCCTAATATAATCCTAGTTCTCCATCTTGGCTGGTGGAAGGCGTTGGCTTGCAAGGAGTAGACACTGCCCTTGTTCCTAGAATTACACAGTGCATTGGTATTGCTGCATTTTACTGTTATTTTCAACACACTAGAGAACTTTCAAAAGAAAATTTGGAATCCTTACCTTCAAATCCCAAATTTCTCCCTTGATATAAAATTATCACTCCCCCTTTTCTAAGATTATAAAATCACCTTCCAGTGATTCCAGTAACCAGATCAAAAGCTGAAAAACAAACAATCCCTGTTAACCATGAGGAGCAGGGTAACAATTTCCTTTCCACTGATAAATCCCACCCCGGAACAGATTTCAGCAAGGCAGCTCACAAAGCTCGCGGGTGAACTACACAGGCCATGTGGGTGCCGAGCTCAGAGCCGGAAAGCAAACAGCTGCTGTAGCCTGATTTGAGTTAAAATAGTGTGAGTGTTTAGTCTGGCGCACGGCTTCGGGGGAGATTGGCAGCTGGGTCAAACAAAGTCCTTCCTTTGGCTCCCTTCCCAGGCTGCTCTGCTAGCATTTAGTGGGTCCTAGTGCAGTGTAGGGCCCTTTTCTCAGGCAAAAATCCTAACATCTGACCGCACCCTCTCTGCTATTTCAAAAAAAAGAGGAGAAAAAGGGGGAAAATAGCTGTTTCTGCGTCTTTCGTTATAAGATAAATTCTCTTGGAAACAACCTCTCCCACTAATTGTGTGTTAGCCATGCATTTTTATCTTGAGAGCTGACGCACTGGGCTCTCAAGTGATGTGGAGAGCAGCCTGTTACAGTGCGGGATTCATAAAAGGGCTGCTATGGTGTGTGAAAGACTATCTGTGTGCTTAGGCAGGAAACTTTTTGATCTACAGAAAAGCCAGAAGACATCTAGGTAAGGTTCCGGGGTCAGATCTACCTTGGGGGGGCCAAGTTTGGCAGTGAAATTGACCCAAGCAAAGGATGCAGGTTTAAAGGGTGCGTGCTCACTTCTGTGGAAGTTGAAATATGCTGGAGATTGTTTGCTTATTTTTTGTTCGTTGATTTGAAACTTAAATCTGGAGGCTGTAGTCTGCCTTCCAACGTTTGGTTTTCGGTTGTTGAGCTGGTTGCAACAGATATGGTTTGATTACAGAGAGAAATCTTTGCAAAGTGACACAGAAATGTTTCTTAGGAGGGAAATTGACAAGTTTTAAAGAGAAATTTTGTGAACATTAGAGGACAGGGGGCAGTGCATTAGCTTAGGCTAACATGGGTTTGATTACCAAAAAAGAAAAAAAAAGTTGAATGTTACTTTGGAAGGAATATTAAGTAAGTTGTCTTTGTCTCTTACTTTTTAATTTTAGTCGCTGATTTAGCCTGTTGGGTCACATTTTTTGAGAGTGCTGAAGGCTGCCATGAATCCTTAATGAGGCCCCTTTGCTCATGATTTTGGCCAAGAGCCAAAATCAACTTCCCAGCGGCAAGCTTTCTCTCAAAGAACTTGGAGCGATTTTTTAATTATTATTAGAAATAATGTTTGAAAGCCGCCACAATCAGTTGTATAGACATGCCAAAAATGACTTTATACAGTAAATATGAAACAAACCTTCATTTTTTTCTCGTATTGTCGCTGTGGAGTCTGCGAGTTGCCACCTAAAACCACGATAGACGAAGAATAATCTGAAATAAGAAAATGTAAGGACTTTTTTTTTCCTTCAGCATACCAGAGTAGCTGTGATCATCAAAGTGAGCTGGAGAGATTCTACAAAACCCGTTGGGACAAATAGCAGATGAATCCACCAACTTATTCTTCTCTGTAAGTAACAGTTGCTTACTAGTAATAGTATTGTAGAAGTTTTGTGCATACAATTAATTTTAATGTTGGCTTCAGTGTGGTCTTTGTGTGTGTCAAAAATGCTTTGGTGTTAGGATATGTTGTTGTTAAGATTTGTTACATGATCTTAAAAGATTAGGTGTTATCTTCATGCATTCAACAAACCTTTCATAGAAATGCTTGGTATGTAAACGTGTCTGAATGATGAAATAATTGCTTTCCTGTAAGATAAAGGGTGAATGTTAGTGAAAGAAGATGAGAAGCTCAAAGACACACACTTTTTTTGAGCAGTTTTTTAATTGGGTTTTGTTACACCTGAATTCTGTTATAGGAGCTGATATGTAATTTTATATAATAAGTTCTTTTGAGTTAAATTCATAAATTGCAAAGACATAGTCTAGTTATTAGACAGTAGCAATTTTAGACTCTTGTCAGTGGTTTTAAGCACTATTTTAAGACATTGAAAGTACCTAGTCTTCAAGGCACTTTAGTGCAAAGCAGAGTGATCTCTGCTGTTTTCAAGAGATCCTTGTGTCACTGCCCTAAATAAAAAAGTGATTTAGCCTCCTGTGTTATAGCAATCTAATGCACAAGTTTGATCTTAGCTACACTTGCGTTTTCTGTTTACTCTATCATTGTGAATCAAATGAATTATCATTTAGTAGGATTAGAACGATGAATTAGAAACACGAATTAGAACTATCTTAAATTAAATGCTTACCACACACTCATAGCCATGCCAATTTTATCTTAACACAATATAGGACTTTGTTCATTTGGACTGTATGAAAAACTGAAATTAATTTTTATTTTTAAAATATGATTACCTTTGTAAAGTTTGCATTTTTGTTTTATGATTGATGGCTTTGTATCCACATTACTGTTAGTTGAACTGACGGTTAGTGTGTATGAAATGATCATACCAGTCAACAAGAAAATTCATGGATTATAAGTTTCTAGAAATTTCTCTGGATAAGTTCTCTTTGTCCATGATTTCATAGCTGAAACAATATTTGTTTTCCTTATTTAAACTCTCATTCTAATTTTATTAACATAATTTTAATAAGTATCTGAAACTTGCAGAGTATTTCTCTAAAATTTGCTAAGATATTTTTTGACTGACAGTTGCAAAGGTTTTTGTTATTGTTAAATAAGAACTATAGCAACATAAGTACAGTCAGAGAATAATTAAAGCACACAGATAGAAATACTAGTGTTTAGGTTCAGAAGGTAAATAATCACATACTTGACTATTGGAAAATATTTTCAAATGAGCACTGAGAGTAATTTGAATTATGTACCTATCTACAGTAGTTAAACATTTACTTTCGTTTGCTGTGCCAATGAGCTGTTAGCTGAGTACATTTATTGTGTTGCCTTTCAGACACAATCATTACCTATCATTATTAAAATAGTATCTGGACGAACAATCACTTTGGAAAGGAGAATATTCCTATATAGTTTGCACCTACTGTATTTAGGGCTAATAACTAAAAAAGGTTTCATTGATTGTACATTCTTTTGGACAGACTTAAGTCCAATCTCATTTCACAATGTAGAAACTTCACAGAAATAAAATCTGCTTGTAATTGTTCATTTAAAGGATGGCCTTTTATTCGTTTTAGTAAGAAAGGATTTTGTTTGTTTGTTTCGGTCATACAACAGGCACATAAAATTATTTTCCTAAATTAAAATAGACATCAAATATTATTCTTTATTGGAATCCACATGTGTACACATTTTTATCTACAATTTTTAATGTGTGAGAAACATTAACAATAGGGCATTTTAGGTGAACATTTCATCGTTGCCATGAAGTGCGCTGTTCTGAATGGTCTACATTCCAGTAATGAGATAAGCACATTGCTACAGTAGATTGAATGGCATTACTGAATTTTGGCACCACCTCAGTGACCTCAGTCATAAAAGATTAGTTACAGGCAAGAGGATTTGGGATTGGAATAGCAAAAGTAGATAAGAAATGCATGTGAAGACATCAGACTTCCTTGCATTGGAAAAAGGATTGCTGAAATAAAAGTTCATACCTTTTATGCAAACTTTTATGGCACTATTTTGTCAGTTATTAATCTAATAATTCTTGAAACACTAATAAGCTGTTTCTCATGCTGGAATTTCAGACGTCTATATAGATATAACTGCCATATTGTTTTTCATTCATATGAGTACATATTTTTTAAGTAACCAAAATATAATTATTAATTTGATAGCCAAATCATTTTTAATGTTTACATTGAAACCCAATATTAAGGACACAGAAGAATGTCCTCTAATGTTAAGTCTTTTTTAGTAAAAGAAGGGTTGATTTCCAGTTGTTAGCATTTTCTCTTATGGATTTAATTCTCACATTATTGCTAACTAAATATTTCTACTTGATATCTTTTTAAAAACATAGTGCCGGGTTCATTTTACAAGCAACCTGACCTATTACATAGTTAAACAAAGAAGAATTATGTGCAGCTCTATAATCTTCTCTCAAAAATCAAGATAACAGGTCAGCCTAAAGTTCCTGTTTAGGCTGAGCATTTTTCTTATAAAAAAGTAAGAATTTTCAAAGTTGTAAGTTGTTTTTGTTTGTGTGTTCAGATGTGTTGTTACCCTGCACCTCTGCTCACGCACACTGTGACACATCTGTCCCGTGAACTGTATAGTGGGACGCCTTCCCTCACCCTCTGTTTGAAACTGTTCCATATTAGTCTACATTTTGTTTTCAAATTGAGTTTCTTGCTGGGGATTAGCCAATGTATGATTTAGACTAAGCAAGTCTACCAAATCCGATTCTTTGGATACTCCAATGCACTGATGTAGACTAAGCAAGTCTACCAAATCCGATTCTTTGGATACTCCAATGTATGATGTAGACTAAGCAAGTCTACTAAATCCGATTCTTTGGATACTCCAATGTATGATGTAGACTAAGCAAGTCTACTAAATCCGATTCTTTGGATACTCCAATGCACTGAGTTGTTTTGTTTGCAACATGATTAATGGCACGTTTCTGGAGTGAGGCCTACTGTGATTATTACACATTTTTAAGGATTTGTTAATTTTTGGAGGCTCTACAATGCCATCATTTTCTTAAAGTAGATATGTTTGCTAACCCATTAATGTTCCACATTGTTACAACTATTACATAATGTCTGCCCTTCAAAATGCTTTGAGGTCAACCCGTTGCCTGAAGTTCCTTTTCTTTTAATGACAAGAAGTCAATATCTATAAGGGGCAAAAGGATACCTGAAATATTTTGAGATTTCTTTCAAGCTTTTCTGCCAATTTCCCTCTCGAAGAGATTTTGATAGCAGTAATGGTCTCATACGAATACTTATATAAGTTTTGGGGTATGAAGTTGACAATGGTTTTCAAATTTTAATAGAAAATATAAATGAAATTTATGGCAGGATATATTTCAATAGTAGGTATTTGCAGCATGCTAATCCTTAATAAACCAGAAACTAGAGAGAGATACAGGAAACTCTGAGAAAGACATGGTGGCAAAGGGTGTTGCTGGCCCAATCTGTGGGATCCAGGCTGTTCTAGTTCTAGTCCTCCACAGTCATCTCCCTGTTTAAATCCTTGTCTTGCATCAGATCCCCCTCAGTGCTAAACCTCATTTATTTCTACAGAGAAAGCAGGGTCACTGAAGAATACACCCATTCTGGCATACTGACCTCCATACTTGGCAAATGCAATGTTCTTTGTGTGTAATGGTTTTCAGAGTCAGGCTGTGGGTAGGTTAGCTCAGTACATTAGACATGACAGTATAATATTCAAGCTAACTCTGCCTTAACAAAAATAATTAGCTTTTTCACTTTACCTTTAACTGGCCTTCTTCCTAAAGAATAGACAGCTGTGTAAACAGGTCTTATTCCTGGAAATTACAGAATATGCTTATCGTATATTAATAGACTTGTGTCTTGTTCAAAATAGTGTTTGTCGATATATACTGTGTCAAATTTAACAATAAGATTAACTTTGTTCAACTTCTGCTTGACATATGAGTAAATTTCTGTTTGAAAGGCTTGTTGTTTGTTCATTTGCTTTATATTGTTTTTGTGGTATTGGGTATTGATCCCAGGGCCTCATGAATTCAGGTTATCTCCAATGCTAAAATACATTAACTATATATTTCAGTTACATTCTTCATGTAGTATAGTTATCTCAGTGCTATGTGAATTTTTCTGCTCATGCAGCAAGTTTGTATATTATGTGCATATCTCTTGTCATGTTCCATGGAATTCTAACTTAACCATTCTTCTTTCATTCCTGGGGTTCATTCATAAATATTCACCCAAGAGGATTCTTTCTAATCAATACACAATTTTAGTTGATATATTCAGGAAACTTGACATTCAGAGAGGTTGGTGCATAGGAAATCTTTACTGATGTGTTATTTGAATATTTCTAAAACATCTTCACTTGTCAGGAAGTGAATTGGTAATGATATAGAAACAAGTAATGAATGTTAATTTTGACAGATGAGACAGTGATAATCAGTTCATAATATTTGTAGGATGATAACATTTTTCTATTGACACAGTTTCATGCCAACATGTTTAATCTGGAAACTGTATTTGTTATTAGAAGGCAATAATCGATTTTGGTAATCAGTAGTTTAATACGACTGATTCAAACTCATTAAGCGAACAAGTAGATCTTCAACAAATTGCAAGATGCTAGGTCTCCTTATATCTGGAATTTGTTTTAATTTTCTATAAGTAAACCCTTCAACATGAGTATAATGGTTTTTAGAATTGACTATTTACCCATGAAACTTGTTCTTTGCTCTTAGATATGAAAAAGAAAGCAGTAAAATTTCTTACAAATTCCCCTAAAACCTACTCAAAAATCAAATGTGAGTAACTAAAACATGTGAAAATTTAGATAACTAATGTGGCACCAGATAAAAGGATGCATAGTGCTTGTTTGGCTGGCCAGCTGAGCATTGCTGCAAGTAGAGATATGCC